ATAAAGTATTCTCGTAATAAAGTATGTATTTGTGTACGTATATTATTAAATTATAACTTCACATTTAATTACAATTTTCATGCAATATATTATTTTTTCATACATAATTATTCAATTACAATTTTCATATAGTATTTGATCAATTATTTTTAATTACTTATTTAATGTTTAATATTATTATTATTAATGTGAATATTATCTTTATACAATATAATGAGTTCTTTAACATTATGTTATTATATAATTCTATCCGATTTAAAAATATACTCACTATAAATAATTTTTATAACACGACCGAATTATGTCTTTTGTTTTTAGAAAAATCATTCTCATAGCTTTATAAAAACTCAAATTTATAAGCGCCTTTCCAACCCACATGATGACGAGTCATGTGACCTGACCCACTACATCAAAGGTGCCGACGCTCAATATCCAAACTGTAAATAATTGATAACAACAGAGAAAAATATCAGGATGTTCCTCGTCTCGATCCCAGGTCTATTCTCTCCTCCGATTTGGTAGACTTTCGTTCTGCCACTGAGCCACACAGCTCTGATGCTATTGGTATCTCTGTTGTGTCTGTATCTAGTAAATTTCTTATATTGGGTCATCTAAAAAGTATCCGCGGTACTTTGTCACTAGATGTATGACCCTCAACACACATCTAGTGACAAAAAACCGCGGATACTTTTTAGATGACCCAATATATGGAATTGAAAACGTACTGTATCGAAAAAAGAGGAGAGAGTATTTCAGATTTATTTTGCATATAAAAATATAATATAACTTTTATATTTATTAAAAGCGCATTTATTTCATATAAAAACGCTTTTCAAGTAATCGAAGTAACACAAAATACCCGAAACAAAACGAGGCACATGTAGTCACCCGCTCAAGTAGTCTCACGGATTAGGTTAGGTGACATGTTCACTTGTTCTAAATCCGTTCGTGTCATTGAACATTGGAGCACATAAATACAACTGCTTCCATTGCCACCTTACCTATGATCCAAGTGTTCTTTGGATTAATTTGGAGCATGCGACGCAACAAACTTAGTGATTCTGAGAGCGATGCAGATATAAATGAATTGTTATTATTAAATGCAATAATTTGTGACAAAAGACCAAGATTGCGACACAATATCACTCAACTTAATTGCAACATTCATAAATAAATAAACATGCCCAAGAAAACGTTCTCTGAAGCGCGAATTTAGGTTATGTTTTTACTGCTTTTTACTAGAGAAAGGGAACGCTTCTCCCGGTAACACAACATGGCTAGTAGATACTGTACTGGAAATCAACAAATGGGAACACACCCATAAAATACTATTAGGGAATCCGCACAATAAATAAAACAGGAAACAGAGAACAGAGAATAAGAATTTCCACCTATCAGAAATCGGGATACACGGTTTCTGATAGATTGAAATCATTTATTCTGTATTTTACGTAAGATGTAAACTTAAGCCGATGAGCCAATCAGGAGGATGTTTTAGATACGTAATAAGGCGCAATAAGGCGAGTTTCAACCGGTTGAAATTCATTTTTCTTATTGCGAGGTTATGGATAAGTTTACTGTTATTTCCATTTCCGTTAGATTACGTTAGTTTAATAGTTACATACAGTTTTTCATCCAATTGCATCTAATTGAATCCAATTAAATCCAAAAAAAATATGCGCTATTTTTTTAAAATATGCATTCGGATAGAAAAACTTTCAATCCATTTTAATCCATTCTCGTTTGCTGGGATAGACTTTCAATTGGGCTTTCATTTTCTTTCCTTCTAATGTTACGCGTAAATACCCTATTACCGATAATTTTCTTCCGTCAGACCCAGAAATTATCTTATCTGTCCTAAGTAACTTTTCTCTGCTTTTACTCGAAATACAATACATTCTTCAGAGACGTATCAGCATCGGTAATAAAATATGTAGTAACACAAACTATAGAAATCAAAGCCTTAAACAGTCTAGCTAGATCTTAAATGCTTATATAATTCTTGTATGAATTTTTATACTATGTAGTCCTTAGAAACGCGCGCCGAAATGATTTTTCGATCTTGAAACGTTAACTCTACTAAACGCGCGCGCACGCACATATTGTTAGCAATAAAATTCATCCATGAATAGAAATAATTTATTAATCAACTGATTTATTTATCGGCACCATTCCGATTTATTCATCTTCCCAAAAATCGTACGGGTCCGATCCCTGATCAAAGGGATTAGATTTCTTGACCAAAATAAGGGACCAACGGTTGCATTGCTTGGCCGGCGTAATAGCGCTTCGTATTTGCGTTTATCCACACCGAAGACTTTCTCTGCTTCCGACTTATGATACGCATCCACAGAGCGATAAGCTACAAGAATACGGTATCAGTTACGTCCTTCTTTGCCCCTCTTTTAATTCCCGTTTACCATGAAATAAAGAATCCTGGGTCTGAAATACTTCTTTTGATTGCATTTCTGCTTAATGAGCCGTTTCATTTCGCTTTATCCACGATTAAGTCATTTATTAGTTACAATCATTCTAAAACTTGATCGTCTCGAATGTCTATTACTAGAGTAATAGATTAATTAGTTTTCTATAGAAATAAAATTGAGGAAAAAACCTGGGTTTCCATTTTTCCAAAAAAATATTCTTTTAATAGGTTCGTCTATATTTGAATAATATTTAAATAATGATAGAATGTTGCTTTAAATTATTTTAAATTATTTTTTATAAATAAATAGAAGATTTATCTTCGTTTATGCATTATTACATATATGACAGGTTTTTCGGATGTGTTGATTGACTGTAGGATGGAAAAATTCTTGAGTTTAGAAATATTTTATGCTGCAATAACATATTTTATGCAAATAATATATGAACATACCTGCAAACTTTGCCATACGACAATATGTACGTAATAATCCTTATAAAAACATCCTTATAAAAAATTTATTCGTTTTTCGGCATTATATTCCATTAAACTTCTCACCCGGTTTATCTTTCTTTTTTTTCTTTTCACATTAGAAAGAAAAGGATAAATATTTCCGTATAGGAGTTCAATCCTAGTATTATGATATCTTTTTTTAATTAATATTCAATGTCTTTACCAGAAGAGATAGATAGATAGATCGTTATTTATTTAGCGCTCCAGATAACAAATGTTTCACATTTGTTAACGATATCTATAACTATTATAATCTTGTTTTTTGATGAATCTGGGTTTCTGGTTATATCCTCGACGCAGAATCTGGAAATTAAGCATCTAGTCATTCTTATTTTAAATAATGGACACTCTGAAAATAATCTCCTAAAGGACAAACTTATAGAATCCGTACATAACGAGTGTTTTTTCACGTTAATGTTATCTAAATGACAAGATTAAATTTATAAATTGTCAAATTGTTTGTAATAACAGCATGTATACTGACAAGATTCGAATTTCATGATTTAAATAATTAATAGAATAAATAACATATTGTTGTAACTATTTTAATTATTGTACTTATACTAAAGATGGTCTAATAAAGACCGTCTATATTTTATTGTTCTTTGTACTTTTAATAACTTGATTATTCGCTGCCAACATTTTGCATAGTGATATATACCCTTTATAATAATGTTTTAATTATAAAACCTTAGAAAGTTGCTTTACTATTTTTCTCTAATATTCACTTCACTTATCAAGTCATTCTCAAATATGGCTCAGTGGAAAAATAAAAATTACTGCGGGGAAATGAAAATTACTGTAGGG